GACCACTGAACACTTTACTTACTGGGTGTCATTGTGGCTAAAAGATATTTCACTTCTTTAAGCTTAAGTTTGCTCTCACATGTAGGCTATGCTAACATGATATAAATTGGACCTATACTGAGATGTGCAGAACCTTTTAGAGCTTCATTCCAAGGCCACTTAATCACAGGTATGTTTAGGTATGTTTATTAACAATGTCATTATATATGCTGTGTTCTAGTAGACTGAACCATATCGAGAATTGCTTTCCAATGATTTGTCTATGAATTTATGAATGAGCTGTTGTATTGGATTGCATTCAATTGTACGAATAATGAAGAAGCACTCTGTTTGACAATATTACTTAATTATTTCAAACCGATCATTCTGAATTTCTGGGACTTAAAGAAGTGACTCTATTGAAACAAACAAAAGTACTGCTCTTTGGTCAAATTGATGATTTAGTTTCTATTGTGAGAGTTACGGTGTAGTAACTGACTTTCCAGATAATCCATATCCGGGACAAGACTTCCTCTTCCGTGCTTTAGCCATTCCAATTAGCAACTGGAGATGTGGGATCAATTCAGAGTTTAGAAATGACATATATGACAGAATAACGGCCCGTCCACACAGCGGCGTGCGTTGAAGCTTGCCGGCGGGCGTGTCTGAAACTCGACCAACAACCAATCACATGAATATCCCGCCCCTGAAACACAAGCAGCGGTTTGATTGGCTAGAGCTTGTACTGGCTTATGATTCGATTGGCTGACGCTTCTGCCGAGGCTTCAAAAGTTGAACATTGCTCAACTTTTGCAGCGAGCCACGCCAGCAAAGCTCCGCTTCGCTTCCCACAATGCAGTTCGGCGAAAAGTGATGTCACCCCATTCAAAGTGAATGGTGAAGCTTTCAACGCACGCCGCTGTGTGGACGGGCCGTTAGGGTTAGGGTTCACGGTTCAAGGTTAAATTGTTTGCAATTGATCTGTGGACAGGTGTGGCAAATGTGTGATTTGTGCAGTGTTATTGGCTGCTGATAAAAAGGGAACAGGACCCTCATGGTGATCCCGAACGCAGACCACTGGGCAGAGGAGGGTCTGCAGGGGCTGATATATCTATATAATCAAGTTAACAGGTGGGTGGGATTGAAAATGAGTAACCAAGGGTTTGGTAAGACGACATCACCAACGTTGTATAGGTGCTTTTTCAGTTTGGTGATTATGGTGTGAAATAGTGTTTATTACAGTTCAAAAAAGCAACTTGACACGTGCGATCAATTAAGAGTATGACTTCTATGACAAAGTTAGGGTTAGGGTTAGAACTACAAATACATACCAGAATGCTATCAATATCCAAATTGTGTCCCAATACACACAGATTATGCATTCATATGTAGATATAGAGATTACTTTGTGTAGAAATTGTTTAAAATACTTTGACAACTTCAATCAGTGACACATATTCACAAGAACTTTGTTTTAAGGGTGCACTTACATGTAACACTTTCACACAATGCATATGTATGTTTTGTTTTTTTCGACTCATGTGAAAGGGAACTTTTATCCAATTGGAACATGAACTTAACACAGAAGTTTATCTTTACACAGTATTTCTTTGTTTTCCTCTCTGTGTGCTGTACACTGTGATTGAACTATGTTGTGTGTAGAGATAGTGCCATAAAAATAAAATTGAGAAAGGTAGTCCTGTCTAGATTAAAAAGAACCTTCAGGATGTTCAGCTGTTCACCAGCGTCAGTCAGATTTCTTACCATGTGTAGAATTTAGGGTGATGAATCATCTTATGTGTGTGTGTGTGTGTGTGTGTGTGTGTGTGTGTGTGTGTGTGTGTGTGTGTGTGTGTGTGTGTGTGTGTGTGTGTGTGCGTGCGTGCGTGCGTGCGTGCGATGCGTGCTGTGTGTGTGTGTGTCTCTATCCATGTACAGTACTGCATGTCTCTCTCTGCCTTAGGTGGAATAGAGGGAATGACAGTTTGGTTTGAAAGTTAATTGTAGTTTACTGTAGCCGTAGACATTTGAGCTTATTCTGCATAATGGTCTGGAAATAGTTCACTATGAGTAATTTCAGCAGAGACAGAGAGCCTGGCAGGTCTCCTCAATGAGCACTCGATCCACAGTATAGTGACACATCTTGCAGTGAAAATAGCGAGTTAATGAAACCACTCATGCACAGAGAGAGCAGGAGTGATTCAAACATTGCTGATAAAAGTAATTGTAGGGAAGAGTTCAATTGCTGCTTCTAAAATATGAGATTTCGACAATGGCCTTTGACACCGTGGGTTTATTACACTTGACATGTTATTAACACCCACCTTTTCCCTCTAACTGTCTATGTCTGTCTTTCAGCTCCATCTGCATATCGGCCTTTTCTCCGCCTCCCTCTTTTTTTTAAATCTAATTTCTCTGTTTTTTCTCCAGACCTACCCTGAACCCCTTGGATCAGATGTAAATTAGTGCAAACACAGTTAATTAGCTAGCTGGTAAGGTTAGAAAAACATGCATCAAGTACCAACTGAGTGTCCTGACATTTTATAATTAGCTCTCAGTGGGAAAATCATTTTGAGGTAGAAAATAAAAGGGCCCTATTATGCTTTTAGGAGTCATCCCTTTTTCCGTAGTGTGATATACAGGTTTTCGTGTAAATGGTCTCCAAAGGCCAAAGGAAATTGCCTTTTGACCTAGTGTTTGATGATCCGTCTGTAACCTCTGACAAAAATGGCAGCAGGATTAGAGGTTCAATCTGCAAACCATTCACAGTAGAAGGTCTAAAAAGGGTTCGCAGTCCCTGTTTAGAAACTCTCTTAACTAAGAAATATCGATTTTTCCGTTAGCTGAATTTAAAAGGTTTTCGTGTTTGACAGTTTTTAAATGTTGAAGCATCAGTAGTCTGAAACCTAAATAATCTATTTAGCTGTTTTGTTGTGGATTAAAAGTGTTTGCATCAACATCAGCGAAGTGAAAGGAGAGGTTTAGGCTCTATGGACACATGTTTTTTTGTTGCCAAATGATGCTGGCTATATGCGCTGTCCTACGTTAAGGAGAATAATTCAAACGTTTGAGTCTAAAGGAGTGAGTATATGTGATACTCATTTTCAAGCAGTATTCCTTTAAAGGTCTCATGTCATGCTTTTCCGGTTATTACCCGTCCCCTTGTGTGTTATGAAGGTTTTTCTGCATGTAAACGGTCTACAAAGTCAAAAACCCTCACAAAGTACACCCTGTAGCGAGTAAAACTCTAACACAGAAAATACCTGTTAGACCCTCCAGAAAAATGCGATTCTGCGATCGCAGAATTTACCGCATAATCAGCAAAATGGCGCAGATTTTTA